GATTCGTCTCGATGAGCTCTACAACTTTAATTAGAGACTCAAAGATAATTAACTTAGTACGAAAAAAAGTTTTCTTTAGACAATTACTAGAAAATTTCTACTTTCACATCTATAGTAATTTATATATAGAACCGCATCACGTTTTACTATGATCATTCTTCAGTTGACTGGAGAATCATCAATTAAAATATCTAGATAAAAAGTAGTAAATTCATCATTAATATGAAAAAAGTTGATACATTCTGTTCAATCTAGGAATAGACCAAACTTATAGATTCTTCTGATACTTAACTCAGATAAATGGAAATTGTTTTTCATATAAATTTCATATTTAGCTCCTTATACAGATAAACAAGAAAGAGTCTGATTAGAAAAAATAAATCGTATCTGTAAAGATGAAGTTGATATAAGATTTGATAAACTGTTTAAAAGAAGAAATGTTGAATATGATGATGTAAAATGCTTGATCAACAAGCTTCTCCAAATTTCATTCATTGAGATTTAAGTAATATATAATTAAGTGTTATTTTTCAGGATTAACTTTTATAATAATTCTTTTTATTGTTTTTTCAAAATATGTGAATATATAATTTTTTTTTTTTTTTTTTGGTTTTAAGGTGACCTCTTGGTTGCTATCCTTTTATTCGATTATTGTTAACTTTTATAATATAAAATCCTATACCGTACACATATTTGGAGAGTACAATTAACTACATATGCAACTTTTGATTGTCTATTTAAGTAAATATCCAAAGGTTTTATACTAGCTGCTATATCTATAACACTACTGAATTACCTATTTAAATTCTCTATGCCTATGTATATTAATCCTCTAACTGAGCAAGAATACATTAGTACACATTTATTTTCAGATTCTGACTTAGTACTTTAAGACAGGCTCATCTATAGAAGCCCTTTGTCCTTAAAGTAAACCTGCTAGAGCTTTCTGTACCTACAATCTGGCTAACTTAAGCTTCAGTAACTTATGCTGAGTCTGAGAACAAGTACTTGTGAGCCAAAGCCACTACCGTTACTTACTTTTGCTTTTGTAAAGTTTACTCAAACCCCAGTACATACTTTACAGATCATCACCAATATCTAAGTTCTGTCAGTAATCTAAACTCCTAATTCAGATAGCCCAGAAAGGCTGTGACCTGCCTCTGATTCTCACAGTTATGTTCTTTTCCTCTGGCTTACATCTGGCAGCCTAGTTGGTATAGTGCTTACCAACACTGGTTCTTGTCCAGATCACTAAAATTAGTATCTGGATTTCTTAGATAATCTTTTATATAGTACCGTCAAAGATCTGTGCTATTTCTCTACTCAGAACTTGCTAAGTGGACTTCTGTGTGCCCCAATACCTAGATTTATATAGCCATTTCACTCAGATTTGTATAACTCATATATTACACTACAGTTTCATAGCTTTCCAATAATCTCTAGTACAACCAAGTTTACAGATCCAATGATCCATCAGATTACATATAGTCTGCTGTAACAAATTCTGTAAAATTTAAATTTCATTGCTAGTGGGATTCAAACTCTTGTTCTGCTGCTTGGGAGTGCAACAACTTGACCACTTCACTAAGTTGTCACACCTCTGCGAATATAAAATTTCTTTACTTTTGCATGTATATTTTGTAAATTTATTTTATTGTATTGATATCGATATATATTACTTGTATATGATTGAGAATTTTCATAATAAACTTGAACAACCTAAAGTCTGTGAAATTTAAACAACCTAAGGTTTGCGAAATTTCTTGACAATTTGATTTTTGTTTTAACTTAAATATTTAAATAAATAATATCTTTTATAAACAATAGATAAAATGTGGTAACTTAGTGAAGTGGTTAAGTTGTTGCACCTCCAAACAGCAAGTTCGAAACCTACTAATGATAAAATTTTAAATATTCTGCTTGTATAATGATTACTGTCTTTCAATGATCGGTTGGAACAGAATCTCTGTAACTTTGGTTGCATTAGCAAGATTGGGAGATCATAGGACATTTGTGCAATGCATAAGTTATATGAAGGTATATAAACCGGTATTAGTTGGTGCAAACCTAAGATAAGACCTCATATTCATATAAACCTAAGGAACTGAAAAGATAGGTGTTCACTTGGCAAAACTCGAGTAAAGATATAACACAGACTTTCGACAGTGGCTACTAGAATAGACTTCATCTAAGGTTGGAAAACTGGAAGTAGCAAGAACACCTAACAAGTTATTCTATCAACCAGGCTGCCAAACCAAAGGAAAAAGATTGGCAGATAACACAGGACCGATGTTTCTTCTAGGCTATCTGGATTGGTAATCTGAGAAGACCGACTACAGGATACTAAAAAGAAAAATACCAGATTGTCTTGAAGGAAGAGTACTGAGATTTAGATGAATTTTGCAAGGGCCAGAGAGTTTGGTAGTATGGCCTGCCTATAAAGGTTTAGAACCTATCTAGTGAACTTATCTGCAGAAAGGATTGGTGGTGTGGTCTGCCCATAAAGGTATAGAATCTATCTAGCAAGACTTATCTGAAAAAGACTAGATAATACAGTAATAGTGGATACTAGACTGTTCTAGCAGATAATATAATAACCTTGAGGATAAATTAGTTAACCAAGCTAGTGGTTCTGGGTGCGGGTCAAAATCCCGACAAACAGAATCCCAACAGGTCATAATCCCGAAAAAAAAATCCCGACAACCAAAATCCCGACAGCTATTAATTAAGGAGATTGCTACCGACATAGCATTATTGGCACAGCTAATGACTAGCACTAACCTTATTGATACAGTATGGCCAGGATTATAGTTAAGGTTAGTGTTAGAATTCGGAAAAATTAGAGAATTAGGTTGTCGGGATTTTTGATTGTCAGGATTTTTTTGTCGGGATTATGACCTGTCGGGATTCTGTTTGTCGGGATTTTGACCCAAACCCGTGGTTCTATAGGTAGTTTGCAAACAAGCCTAGAACTTGAACTGACTAATGTATTACAGGTTCTGGGTGAGATTAGATGGATTGATATAGAAAACTCAAATCAGAGGGTTTAATTGGGTAACCCAAATAATAGGTGGGTTATAGGTATAGCATCTAGTGTAGAACCTAGTAATAAGCAGACTACTTAAATTAAGCACTCAAAAGATGCAAGTATAGCTAAAATATACTCTCATTAGAATGTACTTGTCTGGAACTTCTTTGAAAAAGGGCACTATATGATTCTATAATTTAATAAAAATGATAAGCCAAAAAGGCTAACCTTGACCACAAAAAAAAAAAAAGAAACAATGGCAAATATACAATCCAAAATTAATTCGTTAGAAGAACAGAATTCCAAGCTTATTGTAGAGATTACATGCATTTTATTTATAATCTTAAATTTATTAAAGTAATTAAAACTTATATAAATTTTATATATTGTATAAAATAAAGTATTGTATATTAGGTCACACAAATTTAATTTATTGGTTTTCTTAACATAGAACTTCTTAAATAGACCCGCCGGCCGGCTTTTTTTTTTAATTTTATAGGATTTTACTAAAACATACCTATGGTGTTTTACACCCATGTATACATTATCTCAAAAACTGACTAATTAATCGGTGTGAGGTGTTCTACGTAAGTAAAACTCTTCCCAAACCCTAATCCTAACCTTAATATTAACTTTAACGTGAAAAATTGGTGTTAAAAATTTTATATACAAAACATTAAATTTTAAAAAACATTTGTTATTAAATTAATTTTTATTTAAGTTTTATAAAATTTATAAATTAATTTTAATCAAAAAAAACCAAAAAAAAATTATACATATGTAACAGATAAGTACGTATTATACATACAGTACGTATAAAGGCATGGTCTCACCATTAATATTAAAAAAAGAATTACATTATACAGTACGTATACGTATATATTATATTATATATATTTTTACATGTATATATTACCAAATATATATTCGAATATTCATTCGAACATTCTAATTATTCAACGGATTCTAGTAATGTTAACACGACAGGTTACATCATTGATACACATCGCTACTTCAATAGTAAAAAGGTAACCGAGTTTTACTCTTTTCACATTCACAATCAGGCTTCACCCTGTTCTATAATAACATATTGAAATTGTTAATTATCACGTTTGATTTCCTTGGCCAATCAGATGAAGTATTCTTATAAGAATGCGCAAATTTTTTCCCGTGCCCTGAACCCTAGTTGTAGAAATAATAAGCCAAAATCTCAACGTCAATTTTAAAAAAATTCGCAAATGGTTTCGTGAGCTTCAAAATATATATAGGTATATATACACACTTAATAATAATAATGCCTCCAGTACAGCCTCCCAATGATCAGCCAACTAAACCAAAGTCCGCATTGGACATTGTGGTTAATCAATTAGTTAGAGCATCTGTGGGAGGTAATATTCCGTCATCTCTTAGTGATGAGGATTTGGACAAATATGTGGCCGACTTAATAATGAAAGAAGCTTCTGCCAAAAATAAATTATACAACAA